TATCACTATCTGGGAGGCCAACCTCTGTAAACCATGATGTGCATTTCTAGAATGGAAATGCTATTTACTGCCTATTTAATTTTTTTTCAGGCCCACTGATTAAAAGCAGTGCAGAACAGGGAAAGTATGACTATCATTAAAAGCTTGTAGTCTATGTGGGTGACTGGGCTCTGCTTCTGACTGAGAAATGACTGGGCTACATGACTTTGGGCAAAAACCTGAGCTTTTGTGTCATTTAGTTTATTTATAAGTATATATAAGTACCTTTATTCAAAGTCTTTCAGAGCAGTGCCATGGGACTTCATTAATAATTGGCAATAAAGCACTCAGAGATGCTCAGAAATTGCTATGAATTATATGCTTCTTCCTCTCACTCTCGTGTGTTAATCTAAAGATAAAAATGCCGTATTTAACCAACTGGGGTTCCTTTCCCCAAAGGAAACACTGTAGTGAAGTGAAATACAGAATTCTGAATAATGAAGAAAGAACTCAGGGCTTAATTTTTCTTTTAAACAATAAATAACAATGTGGTTACCTGGAGACATTCAGAGCAGGAGTCCGATGAAGAGCACTGTTTGTGGCACAGTGACGCGTAGCTGAGATGGCAAACCTTTCCAAGTACAGTACTTGAGCGTGGGCAATGTTTTTTCACGATGAGCTGGGGAGAAAGCAGTTGTTTGTTACCACCATTAATGAAGAGCTGCCATATTAAGAAATATGCTTCTGCCAAATGCAAGGCAAAACCTGGCTTTTGATATTTTTGTATCGATGGATTTATAGTTAATCAGTGGATATTACTGTATTTGAAAATTCAATTGTAATGTAATTCCAAGTAACATCTGGAAGGCAGTTCTGTTGCTTTTCTAGTGTTTAAGATTTAAATTTGGCATAGGCTGTAATCCAAAGGGAGGAAATCACCCAGTTATGGAATGGAAAACCACACTTTACTCAAGAAACATTCATCATTGTTTTGTAATTACCTCAGCTATAGGTACAAAAACCTTGAGATACATTGTGAATGGAGCTCAGTACTTTGGGCAGACAGGAATATTTTGTATAAACATAGGAGCTGACAGGAGGCACCAGCCCTGGAGTGGGAAGCAGAGCATTACTGTACAGTAACAGCCAGGCTGTCACAGCTTTTACAGAGGGCAAAACTCTAGTCTGAGGTACTTTGTCTCTACCTAGGGTAGGCAAAAATAAGTTCCTGCATCTGAGGCTAGAAATAGACCCTGCAGAAGAGGAAAAAAACCATAAAAAACATTAGACTTTCTCCTATGTGGGCTCCACATTGGCATAATTCCCTTGATTTTAATAGATCTGCTCCGATTTACACCCACCCTGCTAGGTCAATCAGAACGAATACAGGATATAACAAATACATATTTCTTACTCCCTGGTCTTTGTATGCACTCAGTGAGAGATCTAGTCTGATGTAACTATAAAGTACATTTGGACAAAAGGAGACTAGAATCCACTATTTGAAGCTATAAGCTCTGTCACTGAGGGGTATTTTACTCTTTCTTTCCTGTTTCATTCTGGATTCATTTTTGCCCTTTTGATTTGCATTCTCCTCACCTTAAGACAGTCAGGAGATAAACTCCTCTCAACCTCACTAGAGGATATAAAACCTTTATATTTTCAAAGCCTTTGCAATCTTGTCAGAGGAATTAAATACAACAAATGCTAAAATCAGTAAAGAACAAGTTGTGAGTGTTTAGAGAAGCCTACCGTTGCTTCCTCCATCACGTCCCGAGTTGGTGTGCTTGAGTGCAGAGCCACAAGCACTGTCTGAGCTGCTTCCCAGTTGGTGAGCTCTTGCCTTTCAATTTTATGCCTCAAGAACCTGAGTGCACGGTGACTGGCAACTGCAGGAATTATATCCAAAATGTAGCGCCTGTAATGGGAAAAGCAGGGACCATTTTCCAGATCTGTATGTGAACATAGTCATTCCAGATGGTCTCCAACAGAGTTTATCAGTAGAAGAATCACTACTTATATTGCTTGTACCTGTACACTGGCCGACTGGAGAACTGCTTCCACACTGACTCGTAATTCTCCTCATTTGCTGCACGGAAGAGGTGCATAAGCTTGAGGGCTTTTGCTGGTGCATCACTGGGAAGCTGTTCAGATGTGGTCTCTACTAGGTCTTGCAGGCTTTCCTCTATCTGCAGGACAATTAAAATGCACAAAGCTCACGTGCACTGTTTTCCACATGCATGGATTCCAACCTTGAGCAAAGAGTCTGTCCAGTGGATGAACTTTACCTGGCTTTCCACATTTTTTATTCTGAATAAGTGGACAGGAAGCTGAAGCAATTCACTGCCAAACTGGTACTGAAGTGACCCACGATTCTGGAATTCTTTTGGTGGGATTTCTGCCATGTTCTTTTGCACGTCAGTCAAAGCAAGTTTCTGCCTGGAATGGAGGAACCCAGGGAGATAACATCACAAGATGCAGGGTACAAACTAAAAAGAGAACAGCGTTTCTGCCTCCCTGCCTTGCAATGGGACTACAAATGTTTCAAAAGGTTCTGTTACTGAGGGGCAAAGGTATTTACAGATAGATTTGGACATGATGTCCAGAACTGTACTCTGAGAAGGTGTGCACTTACACAGCAGGGCTCAGATCAGAACCAGACTCTGTGTTCCTTTGGGAATAATATGGCTTGAGAATTTAAGCAAGAAGTAGGAGTTGAGAAGCTGTGGCCTGAAGGATGTCACAGGAACTGTGTTGTATCTTAAAGAGTAAATTAAGGATGAGGGAAAAATAACTGATGGGAAATTTTTTAGAAACTATAACTTAATTTAAACCTTTTAAGTTCATAAGAGCTCTTACGTATCTGTACCTCCTGGAAGCTTCAAAAGGAACTGAAAATTGTTAGACACAATAAGAAATTCCACAATCTTTTCACTTGCACTATTACTATTTCCTCCTCATTTTGCCTGGCAAATGTCCTAGGGACTGCAGAAGATAAGAGAGTCTCCTGATGTTTCAAATCTGATTTCCCAAACAAAAAGGACCAGATAAATTCAGGATTAGTCTTTGGAAAAGTATTAATGTTTTTGGAAACTTTTAAAGGAACACCAAATCTTCATCCTTTGTTATTAAGAATAATTCCAATGAGAAACTGTCTTTGTAAATATTTTCTATCTTTGCTACATTTTCAGCTAAAGGATGCATCCTATCCCACCAATTATGTTTAAAATAGGTTTTTCAGGACAATATAATAAAGTTAAACATTTGTACTGAGCAACTGAAAACATTCCAAAAGCAATATTGTTGTACTACACAGACTCTCAAAGTCTCTGTAGAAAATTGGTGTGTTTATTTTGGAATCTCTATGATGATCTTCTGTATCATTTCTATCCACTCCTTCCGTATGGATTGCAGAGAACTGCTGCAGAAAATAGCAGCAGTTTGCAGACAAGGCACTAGAATTTGAATAGAAATCACTACAGAATCAGCAGAGATTTTTTTCTCTCTTCAAATTTTATACAATATTATTGAAAGGGCATTTCAGTCAGAAAGTATAACATCAGGTACACTTGGACAGATTTAACTCCCCCCTCCAGAACATGATGAATCTATTATGTCTTCATCTGCATTGTTTTGGGAAGAGATGTATCTGCCCAGAATAGATGGGAAAATATTATACTTTAAAGAGAAGAGCAAATGAATACTAAATATAAGATTAAAACAGTGGAACAATAGTAAAACCTCGCTTGGCTTTGAAAGGTGCTGCAAGAGGCCTATGCTGAACAGGTCTGAAAACTCAGCTACAAATGTTTTAAGTCCTTGATGTTAGATTTTTCTTTCTTTCTTTCTTTCTTTTTTTTTTTTTTTTTAAATTTACACAGAAAGTGCATTGTAGAAATAGCTTCTGAAGACTTGTGTGACATATCCACATCTTTCCAGCTGCCTTATATTTGGCCCTATCTGTTGGGCAATGCAAAAGATCTAGAGAAAATGGTGAAAAGTAAAGGCAGTACATTTTCTGAGGGCTCAATACCTGAGCCCTTACTCAGGGAAGACAGTCTATGCAGGCTTGCAGAAAGGGAGTTTAAATCAACAAAAGCCCATTAGCACCAGACTAACGCTCACTCACAACAACCTATAATTTGATAAAAGCACTACAGTTGTATCTATCTTCACCTTGATTGCATGAGATAGTAAAGTCACTTTCACCTTTACTATTTTATTTTTTTTTAGCCAAACTGAACATGTTCATCATATTAATGAAGTTAATCAGTGATTTATTGACATGAACTTTCTGATGTTGCAGTTTCCAAAACTGTATATTATAGCAATAGATTCTTGCAGAACCTAATGGAGCAACACAAGATTACAGCAGCTGGAGTGTAATTGAAGTATATCTTCTGTACAGTGACCTTTATACACAAATGCTCCTCTTCAGCAGGGCACCTCTGTCTACAGAGTCCATCACTAAAGCAGGTAACTAAAAGTTTTTTTCAGTAGATGATTTTGAAGCAGATGAAAAGATTTTCAAACATTGAAAATTTGGAGGCTTGAGCTACAAATGAGCAGGAGATTAATTTCTTAGACAAACACATTCTGATTTTGCTCCAAACCTGTTTAAGAAATATGCAAAATTTGCTGTGGAAAGCAAATACATTTCATATGTTTTGTGCACAATCTTTTTGCAATAAAACCTAATTTCCTATCAAGAAACTATTTTGATGGGACATTTGCAAGCAGTCCACTGTACTTAGGAAGGATATTAGAATCCAAAGTCCTATCTAGGTTTCTTATGAACCAGTCTCCAGGGTCTCTTACTGCATTATTATTTTCTAGGGAACTCTCTTTCCTGAGTAACTGTCTTTCAAAGTATTTTACTGCAAATATATTAGTTCACAATTTTTCAGATGGAATGACATTTGTTTTGGCTTTTATGACATAAATCAAATATCCCTGAGAAATAAAACAGTCAAACCCTGCCAAGTTTGGCTAACAAAATTTGGATAGTGATGCGCATGTTTCAAATTTACAACTAACAGTGATTGTTGTTTTTATGAACTGTTTGGGATTTTATGTAATTAAATACTGGCAAACAATAGGCTGTGGAAGTAAAGGATTTATTTCAGTTATGGAGTTTGACTAGATTACTGAGATGCTGAGTTAGTTGGTGAATTAAAGGCATATGTATAGTACCTTGCTTCTACTATAGCATTTCCTCCTGTTATCTCGTTGAAGGGTGCAAACTGGTGGATTTCCTCAACATCAGCTTGTGTAATTACAGCTTCATTATGTGTATATTTAATTTTGTAATTGTAAGTAGCAGTTGCCCGGGAATTCTTGTTTCTCTTTATAATATAAAAAAGCAAAGAAAAAAGAAAATAATAAGTCATTGAACTTCTACATTCTGTGACTAGAAGCTATTACATCATCCAGTTCAACCCACTTATTTTCCAGAGCTGTTTTGTTCATTGTTCATATGAGCACTTTATGTGAACACTGTATGCACACTTTCATTGGAGAGGTCAGGTACACTGCCTGGCTCCGTTACTTTTACTGCTAAGATGTGTTGGCTGAATTTTCCCTTTCCCAAGTATAAGTAATTGGTTATTCCCTTGAGGAGACACATTTTCTGAGGCGAGTAGCAGTATAAGCCACTCAATTTCTTATTTCTAAGACAGGATTATAGTAAGATGCAGCAGTACCTATCTTGAATAGCAGAAACTGGACATCGTGACTATCTTTTTTACTCAACAGAGTAAGTGAATTAACTCATGCTGATAATTAATGGTTTCCAAGCCAGCTCATTTAATCTAGCTGAAGTGTGTCTGCAGTACATGACAGTCTGCAGCACAGACCTCTGCTGATCTGTGGATCTGATTTTCATACAGAAATAAAATGTTGATAACTAGATACAAAAGATCTGACTCTTCTGTCATTTTAAGTTCACAAAGCAAGAGAGAACGTGGATGCTGAGTGTCTCCCTGTATATGCATATAAAATATATATACATAATACCACTCTAATTTACCTGCTGGCAGCTCTGGCATGGATGAGTGTATGCTGAACCTGTGACCATTTGAACTTTCTCTTCACAGCTGTTCAGGTCCTTGGATTTGGTCACATAGACTAAGTTTGCTCTCTTGTTTTCCTGGATTGAGTACGTTGTGTTGCATATACCTCCAATCCCGGCCTGGGAAAAATGAGAATATGATCAGAGAAGTTTGCTTCTAGGCAAAGCTTCATCAATTCCTCACATGGGCTTTCCTGTTTAATTCTGTATTTCAAAATTCCTGATAGAAATAGATGCTTTTTTCATAGAGTCACAGAATGGTTTGGGTTGGAAGGGACCTTTAAAGGTTATCTAGTCCAACCCCCTTGCAGTGAGCAGTGACATCTTCAACTAGATCAGGTTGCTCAGAGTCCTCTCCAACCTGACCTTGAATGTTTCCAGGGATGGAGGTTCTACCGCCTCTCTGAGTAATCTGTTCCATTGTTACACCCTCATTGTAAACAATTTCATTCTTATATCTAGTCTAAATCTACCCTCGTTTAGTTTAAAACCATTACGTCCTGTCCTACTGCTAAAGGCCTTGTTTTACTTATGGTACCCTCCAGAAGCATTGTTACTTTCACCTCTTTTTTATATGTACAGGTTTCCAGTAATGCAAATCAGAGTTTCACTGGGAGAACTAAAATTCTCAAGAGTTTCACTGAGACAAGATTTGGAGCCTCAGAAAAGGTGAGTAACAATTTCCAGTCAGAGCTGTTGATTATGAAATGCAATTTAAGGAATATTAATATAAAGTGCCCAAATAATTTGATTAGTCAGAATAAAATCTCAACACTAAAGTATTTTAAAGTTGGATATTACATTCTGCCCTTAAAATTTGCTTTTATAGACAGATTATAAATGCCTGTAGAACAGGCAGATGATCTGTCAAAATATGAAGAGCAATAATTAAAAAGAATTTCAGGATAGAAGAGTTTTGTTTGTGTTTGAAGTTTTCTTGTGTTTGCAGTTTTAGCTCAGATCTTCAATAATATTTCAAGCATATATATTTATAAGAGCTCTTAAATCTCCTCAGTCAGTGAGGAGATTTTTGGAGAGGAAAATATTTGATTTCATTTCAGGAGTAAGGGTTATTTTCATGATTTTTTTATTGTTATTGATAGCACATCCACTCCAGAGAGCAGCTCTGGGCTATGTCAGAACAGCAAAATGGTCATGTGGTGGTTGGGAGGCAAGACATACCCACTTCATCTTTAGATTAACAGTATTCCTGAAGACACTGTGGCTTTGGTAAGAGATAGAAATAAGAATTGCCCAAGCTTTCTGAAAGACTTGTACCCTGCAAATGCAGGTGTGTGTCTCTTCTGCAGATGGCAGGGTGTGGTAGAGACACCTAGACTTTAAATGGGAATGTCCAGCCCGCCAGGCTCAGTGGGATGAAGTAGCCTCCTGCCTAGCTGGACTTTATAACTGTGCGCAGTTTACAGCTAGCTCAGGTACCCTTACCCTACGCTCTGCAGGATGTAATGTAGGCTTTCCCAGGTTAGTCCTTTAAACCTCTCGTCAGCTCAGATTTTGGGACTAATAATGCTTATCTTCCTTTACAGAGTGACTTGAGATTGTCAAGCAAGGGTGCCAATGTTCATTAATCAGTTACTGTCTGAGAAAAGCAAAGAAAATTTGGAAATGATTCTAGGTAGTGAAGTCACATATATTGCTCAGCAGCAAGAGTAGGACATATTGCTAACTGAATTAGAAAGAATGAAGATATAAAACGAGATATGAGAAAATAATGCTGAAGAATATGGGACATCACCACATGGGTTTTCATGTGCAACAGGCTGCATGAAAATATTAAATCATCTAGTTCCTTTCCCAGAAAAAACTCTACTTACAGAAAAAAAAAAATTACTCTGGTCTGTATTTTCAATAAAAATAACATGAAAGTATAGTAATTTCAAGTTTTTTGCTGATCTCTGGATTGAACGTAGTCTAATCAATGTAAATATGGTTTTGCAAAAACTAAATGCATTTCAATTTCTGTGGTGAATAGTAATATTAGATGATTTACCTTGACTAAGATATTAAAACTTGAAAAACAGTTGAAATTCTAATAGATCATCAACTGCAACTGTCAAAGCTATTATAGTAATGTCATGACATATATACTGTTTTCCCCCTAAAAGAGGAGCTAGAAGAGATTAAAGTATGTATGATCAGTTAAAAAAGTCAAATTACTTTTAATTTATATTTAATCTTGTGCTGTATAGTTAAGCTTGTTTTAATACAGCATTCAAATTTTATGTAGGCTTCAGCTTTCACAGGAGTTTACTAATTTATTTTCTCTAGAATCACAAGCCAGATTTTCCAAGGGTCTAATACTGCAAATGCATTTTCTGAAATACTTTGATCGGACAGATTAAAAATCTACTATTCTGTTGTTCTGTTTAGCTGCAGCTCCATCAAATCATGATTTCTTAAGATTAAATGTTTCTTTAGTGAAGTTTATGTCAAGGATGAATTCAGAAAATTCAGTAAAAGAATCTGAAGAGAAGGCTTGTTTATTTACAAAGCAAACACAATGGCCAAAATAAAAAGCTCACCTCCTGTAAGCTGTATGAATTCTGCATCTTCTTTATACTTAGCTCCAGCACATTCAGAATCCCTCTGTAGATGTTCAGACCATCATCCGAGACAGAATCAGGAGCCATAAGGTTTCCAACATGGCCATTGCTATACTCAAACTTGATGGGATTACTCAGTTGTCCGGTTAGTACCTGGGTCAGTTTGAGTGATCGAGAGAATAAGCTTGTAGGCCAGACACCATTGTACTCTGCTGCTTCGATTGAGTGAATCTGGAACAAAGTGGGAATATAATTCCTCTTTAATTTTTTCAGTTGGCTTTTTTCAATGCACATAAGCTTCTAGAGCTTTACTCGCATCAAAAATACACTCTTAAATAACACAAAGCCTCTTCAAAGGGGAAAAAAAAGTTGTAATTTAACATAGATAGTATCAATATACTTATTTCTATACATAAAAGGAAAGAGAGTAATGCAAATGACTGTGATGTTTCCACAGTCACTACATTCTGATTTGTTTCATATATAATCCATATTGCCAAAAGTTGACTTGTATGAAGAAAGGAGACAGAGAAGAGTCACAGGAAGCAGGTTGCTACCCAAAAGTGGTATGGAAGATCTGCAGGAAATTGCACGAGAAAGTTAATGTTGCATAAAGCCTCGTTAACTCTTGTGAACTCTGTTGTCTCCCTTGCTGGGGTCACAGAGTACAGACAGCAGTCAGAAACTAATAACAACATGGCTGCTGGGCCAGCCCAATAGTCATAATTAGTTTGAGCAGTGGAGAGCAGATTACAAAAACTGTCTTTTTTTCCTACATGTTTTTGCTGTGGAGCCAAAGGTTCAGGCACTTCCCCCAGCCCATCTCTGTAATTCACACTCCAGCTGCAACCTGGGGCACATCCAAGCAAGTATAAAGTTGTGCTAAACTATGCATAACTCGCATGATTTTTACCCCATGGGAATGGGGCATGTGTAGCTTAGTTTCTCAGAGGACCCTTCCCTTCTATATATTTTGACAATTTAAAGGTACTTTTCTCTGACACCTCAGGCTGGTGATGTGATGCAAGACAGGGATTAATTTCTCAAAAAGCCACACAAACTAAATCCTCATACAGCAAATCGCTGGAGACTGCACTTTCATATTTATTTTTGTTATTGTTAGTGAAGATCACTGCCAACCCCAGTAACTGAAGCTTACACAGGAGGCTGTTACAGAGCAAATCCCTCGTGCTGCCTCCTGAACATGCTTCTGGCATATTGCATACGGGTAGGTTTGGGACTGCTCTGCAGGGTCAGGGCTAGGTAGTTTTCTCCAGCCCTCGGGGCCCAGTCAGGATTTACGCTGTCTGCTAGGTTTTGAACACAGCTGACAATTCTTACTTTTGGGTTTGCAATGAAAAAATTGTCAGCTGGAAACCGCCCAGGGAACACAGCTTTTTACTTGGGCTGAACACGAACTAGTAGGCTACAGATGAAAGATTAATTCCCTGAACCATCCCTCCAAACTGTCTAATTTAAATATAACAGCAGCAAAATAAACTTTTCCCAGAGCAGAAGGGAATAAATGTATTGTCACCTTTCGCTTAGAACCTGCCCTCAAAACCTCGTGATTTTTTTTTTTCTTTTATCTTCTTTTTCTTGCCTGAAATTCTTTCTGTATTTATTTTTGAAAATGAAACTTTTTCCTAGGTGAAGTGGTGTTGGAACGTTTTAGGGAACAGCAGTCAATTTTTGATGAAGACTCACCCTAGCACACCAAGAGCTGTTTTGGCAGGAATGGGGTAGGTTGTGGGGCAAAGACAAGACTGCTTCTGCCTCCCCTCTGTCAGGGAAGACTTCTACTCACCAGTGCAGAAGTGTGGCTCTTATTTCCTTATTTTTTTGCAAAAACATCCATCCATTTGCAAAGGTCATGGAAAAGAAATGTTTCCTGTCTAGATCTATTATAATTTGAATTTATAAAAATACCTAGTAACGGAAGGCTAATTGAGGCTGGAAGGCATTTACAAGCATTTATCAGACAGTCACCAGTCTTTTTAATCTGCAGTTTTCAATTTGCCAAATAAGAGCTTTTAAAAAGATCATTTTTCTTCCACATATACGGAAGACTAAGTGGAGTTTGTGTAAAGCAATTGAAGGGTGCGTTTCAACACATTCATTAGAAGTGCATATAAGCTTCTGTTAAAGGCAAATGTGTTTTTCACATAATCAGAACTCTTGGTAATTACTCAGCGTGCAGTAAAAATATACAATTGAGGATGACAAAGAATATTATTTGGGACCCTGAAGAAAAAGAAGCCATCAGATGACATTAATTATGCTAAATACTGAATCACATCCAGCTATTGTCACATGTTTTATCGTCTTTCATTCGCTGGTTACGAAATCAGTTGATTAAATAATCCTAGGTTGTACAGTTTGGAATAATTGGATTGATCCAGTGATAAATTATTGTGCATTTCAAATTACATTCCATTGTCTCCCTAACCACAAAGCAGAAGAAATCCTTCAAACCCAAGGTTGGCTTGAGCTGAGAATTACCTGACAAAGTGCAAATAGAATTTAGGGCACTGCATAGAAAATGATAGTGTTAGTTACATTCTCCCTGAGTAAGCACAACATATGATGAAACTTAATTACTTCCCAAAAGCTTAAAAAAGAAGTCAAGTATGAAGAGAATTTTACCTTTCGAATAGAATACATTTTCTTACCCTAATAAGACAAAGTTTTGGTGCAATACCACTAATTTCCACTTTACTTTTTATTCTTATTCCAGCTCTTGCAAGTCCTTTCTCTGGAAGTCCACTGAGAAGTATGCTTTCATAACTGAATGTATAAACCTTGTTTTCACTGAAATCGGGTTCTGCAAATAAATTATTCCCAAAAAACATTATAGAGACTGTAGAGAACATATTAAAGTACCTGTATTAGAATGTATGGAACAAAAAAGATGAATTTATTCATTTTTGTATTGCACCTGAACAAAATTAGCTATTATAATATTACATTAAACATTGATATACTTTTCAGATTCTATTTTGAATTTCACTCATTATAATTATATTAGCTGATAGGAAAATTACTTACGGTAATTAAGATGCTGGCTCCCTGAAAGAGAAGGGAAAAAAAAAAGAGTAATGAAATGACAAAGCAAAAAAACCTCAACCCTAAAATGTTAATGTATTTTAGTACGAAAGGCTATATCTCATCTCATACATATGGTATAATTCTTTCTAATTAACTTTACTTCTAGTTCAGCACACTGCCAAAAGCCTTTTTTTCCCTAAACAACAAAGAAATTGTCATAAAATATTTTTCTATAAAATGCTAAAGTTTGTGTTTTTAATTTAACTATATTTAGATTCTGAAACATTTTCCTGAATCTATTATTTTAAATTCATCAAAGCAGATAAGTTACTTACCCACCAGGGTTAAAAACAGGGCTAATATCAAGCCCCTCATGATGCAGATAAAGGTGAACATGCTGAGTTCTCTTTTATAAAGGCATGTGCTATCACATGTTTCTTTTGGCATGTTGGCTTGACAAATAAGCGTACTTTAGAATGCATATTGATCAATCAAAAAATAAACATTTCTGAGGTCATAAATGCTGACAACTTCAAATCAGCTCATGATTTCAGCTAACTTACTTCCTATGTGAAATAAGAGATATTTTCAAAATGTCTTGCTTGCTATTTTTTTCTGTATTTCTCTACCTTGTAATTATATAGTAAAACAATATTTAAAATTCAAAATTAAACAAAAATAGTTCCTCAACCATAACTGAAATAATTTAGCTTTTCTCCAATCATGTCTTTAATCTCCTGATAATTTGCTCTTGCTAAGGATCAAGACACGCTTTGCTCTGTCACATTGAAACTCAACTTTGAGAGGAGAACTTGTGATTGATTTCATAGATTTAGGATGAAGTTACCTTATTGCTCATAAACATGCAATAAGAAACTGTTTTTCCATGGTATCTACCACGGCTGTCTTTCCAAGCATATCTTGTTACCCACACCAGGGAAAGCGTATCTTGTTAGTATGACCTTCAAATTAACTTCTCACTAATGGTCAAAGTTTATACTATGAAAACAGGAGGGAAATTAATAAATGAGTTACATTTCCAGGAGAACCTCAGTGAGTTGGGAGTGCCACATCCTTCTCAATGGGTTCTCATGGGGCTTTGGCTGCTGCCACTCTTGGGAAAATAGATCCAGAATTTCGCACTTACAGTAATAACATTTAGACCAATCCTTAGCAGAACTAAGCCAGGAGGGAACTTTCTCCCTGACCTCAGCTATACATATTTTTTGCAAGTGTTTAACATCTACTTTGAATTTAAGATTGTCTTTTGGTCAAATGGTAAATTAAATATCACGTAAAAACCGTATATATTTTCTTATATATTGCATCCTGTGGAAGTGGGGCTAGTTGAGGTTATTGAAGGGGCAGGAAAGAGAGCTCAGGAATGTATATCTGGTAATTTCTGGAGGCTATGAAAGAAACAATGTACTTGCATGTAATGCGTACAGTCAGGCAACTGGACTCTGTCCTTCAGGAGGAGAACAAGGTTTTCTCTGCTGTTGCTATTAATCAGAGAGGAGAAGGGTGAAACTTGAACACGGGTCCTGAGGCCTCTGCCATCAGGCCTGAGAACATATTTACTGCAGGCTCCACCAAACAGTCCCTTTACAAAATTACTTCATCAACTTGGAGTGATGCCACCTACCTGAGGAATAATGGAGTTTATTATTGTGGTGCAAGTGCACCTGAGCTGATGTCAGTGAGGCAGCCATGCAGTGCATGCTCAGCCCCTCTGCTTTGCCACAGCTCCTGTAGCCATGAGGGCTGGATGGACAGGGGACAACCAGAAATAGAACGAGGGCTGTCCCATTTGGGCAGCTTCACTACCAATACCTCCAGAAATCCTGAGAATTTTAATGTCACAGCTTGCTTTCATAAAGGGAATGATATGCAATTGGCTGAGTAGTCAGATCTTCCTTGAAATGAAATATGTGTCGAGTAAAAATATTTAAAAATACATGATAGTCACATAAACTGTCATGAGAGATTAATAACTGAGGTGTTGGTTCAGTGTGGGTTCAGATGGTGAAAAATTAAGTGCACATGGATTTTCCCTGATGTTTTCTTCTAGAGTACTAACTTGTGTGGGCCATGACAAGATGCACCATGCTTGCAGGCCCTCTGAAATTCAGTGGTGTACCTTGTCTGGCATATAGGCACTGTCAAATCTAGTAAGAAATGCCTTACAGTCAAATTTTTTGCAGCCAGAATGGAAATAAATGCATGGCAGCAGTGAAATACTGTAAGCAGTACCATGCAAAACTCTCCTGCTTTGGTCACCCAGCTTTGACGGCATCACTTATCAGTGCCACGGCTTGACCTCTGTGGTCATGTTGTACTGTTGTGCTCAACTAGCCCCACTTCCACAGGATGCAATATATAAGAAAATATATATGTTATTTACAGAACTATAAAAGAGAGACTATTAATTCAAGCATTGTTATTAACAGCATATTGAAATATGTCTAAGGGACACATACATATTCAAATGGAGCCATAACATTTTTCAAGTTTAATAAAAGGCTTTATAATTATGGTGTAACATGAATAAATTTGTGCTATCTAGGTAGTGGAAATACAGCATTTATTTTTTTAATGGGGAACACTGAGTCTAAGTTCACAATCAGCATGGAGACAGCTGATTGCTAGACAGTTAGCTAAAATAATTAAGATTGTGTGGGCTGCTGTCTTCTCTTCACCTGCAGCATGTCCTATCTCTTTTTAATAGCTCCTCTCTACCCAGACTTGTTTTCTTGAGGGGGAGGAGAAAGTGATCTCAGAATTGTTGTACTCATTATTACTTTAAAGGGACAACCTAATAGATTCAGTAAGTGGAGAGGAGACACAGCTAGAGTTTGAGGGTCACGGCAGTGTGCTCTAATCCTTTCTCCAAAGCAGACATGTCCTTCCAGCTAGCTCTGAGGGAATAAACAGGCAATCTATCACTTTAAGGAAATGGTTAGAAGGAGGAAAGGTGTGAGCCACACTTTTTAAAGCCAATGCGATTTTTCTTAAACATTCAACATGTCATGTTAGTGACCAAGAAAATACATGAAAAATAAATAACTATGATTAAACAAGCCCTCCATAAACAACTTAAAAGTGCCTGATTTGATTGCGGAGGAGGGAACTTTAATGTGGGCATGGGCTTTATACACAACCACTATCTTTTCCTTTTTCTTCTTTTTTTTTTTTTAGCCATAAACAATGAAGAAAAGGAATTCTTAAAAAGTGATGGGAAATATCTTGGGATTTATATATTTTTAAGGAAGAAAATACATGGTGTTGAGTGTTACAGAGAGCACGATGGCTGTATAAGTAGTGCAATAAGATGATGTAGACTGCTTTGAATTTACAGGGCACTTGCACCATAAATGAAACATGAATACAGCCTAATTAACCTGATTAGAGCTATTGCTTCTACACTGCAATTGTCTTTACATAACACATTCTGCTTGAGTAACAGAGTCTTATTATCTGCTGTTGTACTACCACTGATAGCTCTGCATTCTCCTTGTTCTGTATTCATATTGCTGAATTATGGCGTAGTGATGCCATTTCCATCCTGCTAATATATAGCCTAATGACAATGCAGGGATTAGCAAAAGAGCTCCCAAGCAACCATAGCAGGTTAAAATAGATATAATCAGTTGGCTAAACTAAGTAATTTTTAGCCTTCAGTTTTGCTCATTTATAAAGATGAAGAAAACTTATTTAAAAAATTATTTTAAAAAAAAGCATACCTATTTCATATTTAACATTAACTAATTGAATTTTTTTCTCAAAATATTCAGCATTTGCTGTTGAACCATAGCCTCCAAGATAATGTTTGATATTCTCTCCAGAGACTCTGGACATTGTCTGATGAATAAGAATGTGTTCTGGGTTGGGCTAAATTGCCATATGCTGATTTTAGTATATTCACAAAGGGATTTTGTTACATTAGCTTGCTTTAAAAGGTGCTGTTTTTTCTTTTTTGCCTTTTTTTTTTTTTTTTTACTTCCATTTCTTTTACTAGAAAGAAACCCACAGGTCCAATTCCCCTCTGTTATCCCAGTTTGATGCTGGCACACCACCAATGAAGTGATAACTGTGGGAATTGGATACCACGTTTACAAAATGAAAGATGTAGAAATGCTATTTATATTTTGTTTAGTTTTTGGGGTAGACATGATTTGAAAGACGCTGTTGGTCTAGATTTATAGTATAGCTGTACAGGTTTGTTTTGATAAATTTGTTTTTTGTTAATGTATGCTGTTAAGCCAAAGCCACATCTTTGTGCATTTCAGTGAAGTAGACAGGGGCATTGTTCCTAAGGCATAGCATGGATTTGCCGGACATTTCCAGAGAAAAGAATGAAATTAAGAAACAGAGAGGAAGAGTGTGGAATCCAACTCTGACATTCTCAATCTAAATCCAGGTCTTTTTGATACAACCTAGCTTTATGAAGATGTTCAAAGGGTTTTATTTTCATTCAAACATGAAAAACACATTCTGAAGCCATCATTGCAATCATCATTGGTTCATCACGCAGCATACTGATTAAGTGGCTTCAGGGTTTTTCCCCTCTTTTCAGTACAAACTATTTCCTAAAAGTTATTTGCTAGGGTTAAATGCTAGACAACTTACCATCCGAGATTTGAGTCACGTCATATTTGAGGACTGGTGTTTGCTATGTAACTCTGTTGCACTAGAAGATAACTTCTCCAAGTTTATCTTAACCCTAACTTAGACTTCATGGTCACAAAGTGATTAGCTGTTGTGGCATTGGTACTGACGGGAAATTGGGCAGCCCTGAAATTTAGCCTTGTCATGTCTCCACCTCAGTTGCTTTGGGGATGAAATGGTGACTGCACATATAGGACACCCGAGAGCTCTGTGCACTACATTAAACATTGTTCTCCTATAGGCTGATGTACTGCTTCCAATTATGTGCTTGGCTAGAGCTATCCTGGCTAGTAACTTACACAGAGGGAAAAATGCTCATGTAATGTTTATTCTGATGTACTCTGACTGTATAAAATATGGGCACTGCCACAGGCAGGTGAAGAAATCCCAGGCCATCCCATGTGCTTTAGGATGGACTGCAGGAAGAGGGAGAATACCTGGTTTAGCAGATTCAGCATCAACAACCCTTTTGCAGGAGGCACTGTGAGCACATAAAAAAGTTCCACTTCAGAAAAAGACCCATGATGCTCTGTAATCTTTCATGAGGACACTTCTATTCTTGGAGGAACAAGGCCTGAACCATTGATGGAAGAATCTTAGAAAGAAGAAAATTCTCAAATCAGGCCAAGTGTATCAGGGCTGCAGAACTTCAGACTCTCCTAAGAATGAACTTGGGTTTATTACTTTATTTTTTTTTTTAAGTGTAG